CGGTAAAATTACCAATTCCATAAATGGTAATTTTACCAAGAAAAAACTGGGATCAAATAGAACCCTGAATTCTTGGTAATTTTACCCTTTTCTTAGTAAATTCACCGAGATTTTATTTTCAGTGTACTGCCGTGCCCTAAGGAAGAACGCCGTATAAAAATTCGAGAAGTGCCAAATTTCCCTTGGTAAAATAAGCATTCTTGACGACCGTCATGCATATTTTGTCTTGGAATTTTCAGAAATTTTAGAATAAATTGCGTACCGAATTGTCTGACAATTTTGGCAAAAAATATTCACAATTTGTCCGGTAAGTTCGGCTTTTATCGAAGGAAACTTGGCAACGCGTGAAGGCTCATACGGCTTTCTTCCTTAGCAGGGACGTGTAGTTCAGTCTAATCACAATATTATCATCAACTTGCGTTCATGCTGCGTAAAGAACTTACGTGTCTGATTTAAACCGTCCAGCTGAAAGACGGTGGTGCGCAAATTCGAGTAGTGACAGCATTTTGAAGGAGTCTCTTGGTTGGAAACTTTCTTAGAAAAGACCCCAAAGGGTTGCCAGATATCTTCAACATTTTTATTGCAGGCATTCGTTAATACATTTTTTCGAGGCATCGGTAAAGGCCGATGCTGAGAGGTGCATGCGGTTGAGACGTGATAAGCCAAAGGGAACCTTCTTCTTGGCGTTTTTTCATTTGAAATCATCAAGCAAGGACGTTGTCTAGGTCATGGGTTGGATTTCTTTTGAGACCGAAAAGCGCGGCGCGGCGTGAACGGCGGAAAGAAGAAAATGATGGGTTCTATTTCTTTCTTGATATGGCCGGATTTAAATCTAGCTTCATTTTTTTGAGTCTGATACCTTTATCAGGCTCAAAAAAATGGGTACTATACGGACCCTTTTTTTATCAGGAATTTTTTTACTCTTCTTTTCAAACTCTTGCAAAATATCCTATGCGATGTGACGGTCGGGACAAATTAAAACGAATGCGGCGAGTATACTCAACAGCAAAGAAACACAATCTCATAAGTCAAACACTGTGCGGTCGCCGGTCTGCGCGGAACACACATGAGCGCCTACAAGACTGCAGGAATACTTACTTCACGCATTGCGCCAAACACAGTGCGGTCGCTGGTCGGCGCAAACGCATATCAGCGCCTACCAAGGTGCAGGAATACTTCTCGCATTGCGCCCAACACAGTGTAGGTCCCTGGTCAGCACTAAAAGCATATTAGCGCTTACGACACTGTAAAAATATCTAAAATTGAATGCACCCATGAGTAAGGAGAGAGATGGAGGAATAGCTCATTTAATATTTGAGTGCTGGACTAATAAATACATATATTATGTAAATAAATCAGTAAAAAGAATAGATTCAATAATGTACATTAGTTGTATAGAGAGATAGAAGAATAGGTATCCGTTATCTGGGATGTCATCAGGGTTGACGGGAAGTTGCGTGTGAAACCTCTCTAGCAGCCGGATCGTTGAAACTTCAACTGGCTATGTCGGCACGATAAGACGAGACATAGCCCTATCTGCGCCGCGTAATATATCGATCTTTAATTCTGGTCGTGCCGACATAAATTTCAACAGTCGGGCTGCAGGTCGATCTTTGACAATACCTTGCACCCAGCCAGGCTGATTATTAAAATTGATAGACAAAGCGATAGATAAAGAAGACATAGGGAGTTGCGAGCGATCCTATTAGTTGTAATGGGTGATTCCTATAAACTAAGGGAGTAAATGATGGACTAACTATCGGGTACCTCGTGGGTTGCCGTTACTTAGATTATTACCTACCTTATTTGTCCATTGCAACCAACCGCTTCCACCAATAGGATCCCTCCACATCTCTTTAGTCTTCTTTGTCTATAGCTTTGTCTGAAGAATCGAAGGAAATATACTCGCAAATTTTCCCTGAAGACTGTTTCGGCAAAGGAAATTTGACGACGGCTGAAGGTTCATACGGCGTTTTCCATTGGCAGAGCAGCATGGACTTCAAGAGTGGCAGTGCCGTCTTGAAGCATCGCTCAATTCGGCCTTTAGCGTTTCAGGAATAAAACAGGACTTGAAAATACCTCGCCTCCTTCGTATACCGAAATCAGAACCAATGGCATGAATTGGCTCTCCTGAAAAATTGTACGTTAGACGATACCGTTCATAGATGGACTACATTTTGCAATTAGGAACTACAATTTGTGCCTCAGTTTAAAATCATCGTATGTGCCATTAGTTTCTCTATCCAGATTAGTGCTTTTACAGATGGGTCGGAAGTTATAGTTCCGAATTGCAAAATGAAGTCCAAATAACGCCACTTCATCATAACGTGATCAAGCTAGACTTCAGCGTAAGTCGCCATCTTCGTACAGTTTGCTGTATCGTAAGATTCGCTAGAAAGCGTTGCCATCAGACGTACGGAGCGCGTCCTCATAAGTAACAATAAGACTGTATCGTTCCTTTGTTACACCTGGCAAACCCGCTGTGGAACTAGCGAGTGCCGCGAAAAAGAAGGGAAACAAACCACTTGATTTTATGTGCATCTGTTAAATATTAAAATGAGTTGAGCACACTGGTTTTTCATTGTTTTCCCGAGGCCGCATTGAACTTGGGTGTTTACTTTTCTGTATGCCGCCGCTCAGGTTTCTCAGTGGAATTCCTGCCCCTCCACCCACATCTTCCCAACTTTCTCTCTCTGCCGTCTGATCTTCCCTTGTTTGTAGTTTTAGTAAAGGGTGACTTAATTAATTGCATCTTTTTTTAAGACCCCGCGCCGCATTTTCCCCGCGGATTTCGAACGAAGGCCTGTTTACAGAAGCTGCCTTGTTAGGACTTAACGTAGTCGATAGAGCTTTCAAAGTTTTAAGTTGTAAAATGGTTATTTCACGATGAAAATGGGTGGAAGGCTTCGCAAAGCCGCCCCTTTCATTGTTGTTCAGTCGTCGAAAAATGTATTTTTTTCGTCCATCCATCTACGCAGTTTTTAATCATAATTTATTGTATTTATTACCTGAAACAGAGGGTTTATAACTGCCCGCGCCACTTGATGCACACTGAAATATCCATTTTCTTGCAATTTCTATTATTCACAAGTATACCCTTTACCCGTCAAATATTTTTCAATACTCTGTACGGAAGAGGTGGTGAACTTGAAGTTTTTGAAATTTCAATTAAGAAAAAAGTAGAACTGCCCGGACTTTGAAAGTTCTCTTACTTGAATATTATTAATGTATTACAGCATTATCTACGATGACATATTTAGGTATATCTTATATATGTATCTGTATCGAAGCCGAGTGTGACAACTTGAATCCCGTGCACCACGTTACAACCGAAGATGTTAAATCGTACCTATAGTTTCATGAAACATTTGAAATTTGTGAAAGTTCATCCTCAATTTTCTAACCAGGAAATCTCGTCCACCGCCTTTACTTACGATTCGTCTTCTGGACCAGATTCAATTTTTGGGGGCAAATAATTGAGGCATTTGTTCGGGCCAAAAATTTGGACCACATCATTTTAATTTTACGACGAAAAAGTGTGGACTAATCGGACGGAGTTAAAAAGAAAGGAGCCAAGCCACATCGGGATCGAACCGAGAAAAAGAGGTCTGAAGTTTGGCTCCTGCATAAGACTCAATGTAAAAGATAAATTTGGAGTTCAATTTCTGCAAAATTTGCTCCCACAAAATCTTCGAATTTTTGGCGATAGATAGTAGAGTAGCGGTTGAGTTCAAAACCACTCATAACTCAATTTTTTCCAAAATGTGGGTTGGTTCCTTTCTGCTTAACTCAGTCCAATCGTGCTGTAATCGTTTCACCGAGTCGTTGATACAATACATTGTGTCTGCCTGCTCATAGGTTGAAAGAGCTGTAGAGGAACTCGAAGGAGCCCGCACCAAGAAGCGTATGGACGCAGCCACTCGGCGGAGGGAGATGATCTCCTTGCTCCTCATCGAAGTCGTCATCATCATTTTGTTCGGGTACTACGTCCGCTACGACCCGGCCGCTGAAGCCCCTTGTCCCGACAAGAACAAAAAGGGAGAGGATGGCCGTCCCGTTGAAAACCCGTCCGAATATCCTCCTCTACATCAAGTTATGCCAAGTAAGCCTCCATTTCCACAATCGTAGATGGCCTATCCCCCTCTAGAAGTGTCATAAATACAAGGTGATACCCCAGAGGGTGCACGGAGAAGAAAACATCGTGCATGGGACCCGAAGTTGAGGTCATATGGATCTCTGAAGTTTTCTGATCACGCATCCGAAAACTTGAGGTCGAGCTGCCGAAGTTCGGGTCAGACTTCGAGGCACTTCGGTATGTACCGGAGTACTTCAGATGTGTACCCATCGAAGTACTTCAGATGTCTGACCCGAACTTTAGCAGCTGGACCTCAAATTTTTAGATACGTGATCAGAAAACTTCAGAGATCCATATGACCTCAGCTTCGGGTCCCATGCACGAAGTTTTTTTCTCCGTGCAAAAGGACTTACCTCTATCGACAAATTTTTTTTGCATGTGTAATTTTTTTTGCATTTTTTTGCTTGTGCATTGTTTCAGGCATCATAATAATTATTACCACAAAAACAACATTGTAACTACGACTAGAAAGGCAGGGTCATTATGATCTGCACCGGAAAAAGAAACACATTGGATCTAGAGTCCAGACTCCTGAAAACATTGACAAGAAAAAGGACTCTATTGATTCAATCAGATTTAAGTTTGAATCAAAAGGAAATCCGCTCAAATTAAGAGGCTTGGTTCTTGATTTAAGCTTAAATCTGATTGAATCAAGAGTATTTTTTCTTGTTGATGTTTTTAAGAGTCTGGACTCTAGATACAATGTGTTTTTTTCCAGTGTGTGTTAGAGCAACGGTAATTTTTTCTCAGACCTGAAAGACGAGCATTCTATAACTGATTATATATTTAAGGGCTTTCAGGTCATCTCCACCCGTGGAGGTACCGTGCTGAAAGCATTGGCGCGTATGCATGTAAAAAATAGCGTAAGACATGGCCTTTGAGAATGGGTTCCGACTCGCTGGAAATTCGGAGGAGTCGGACGTTGACGAAGTGTAATTTAATAACCGGAGTAAGTTGTGTGTTTACTTAGAGGCGCTCGACTGTTTGCAACTCGAATAAACAAGTGCCTCGAAAAACGGGAACCGGCTCCCCCCGTTCGCGGAAAAAGTGCACGAGGAGCTTGATTACCTGCGAAACAATACTTCGTCGCAGGTGATTTAATAAACTTCGTCTCAAGGAGCTCGCGAGTATCCGTTGCAACTTCGCGTCGAGTCAAAGGCGGCTCAAACGCAAGTTTACCCGGAATTTCATCAGCACCGGGTGTCTGCAAAGATAGCGCAAGGAAGTTTCAGACGTTATTACCAAGATGCTCGAACAAAAAGTAGCATTCTTCTATTAATATAGAATGCCCATTACTCAAGGGTCAGCAGTTCCAGTGATTATTCCGAGAACTACCTCTATCACTTTCTGGGACTGAAAAGTAGCCGACACACCCTTGCCGCACAATGGCTCGAGTCAATAGGAGAGGTCGGACAAAATTCGGAAACTTTAAACGCTTAAAACTCTGTTTATACGGATTTATGAGGTTCTATAAATGGTTCCATTGCTTTCCTCGTGAACTTTTCTGTTGTTAGCACCCCTTGAACTTCAAAATGCGACGAAATAAACAGCAAAATTTGCAGTTTTAGTCAAAAATTTCATGTCCGACCTCTCTAATTGGCTCGATCCACTGTGAGCCGGTGCTGCCGCGCCGAGGAAGAACGCCGCATGATCCTGCAGACGTTGCCATACTTCCGTCTATAAAAACCATTTTCACTGGTACAGTTGTGAATCTTTTTTTGAAACTTTTCAAATAATTTTGCTAGCAATTTAATCTCAAGTATCTGGAAATTTCAAGGAAAAATATTCATAACATTCCTCAAAAATACACGTTGTATCCGCACGGAAAAAAAGTGTCAGGGGTCATCCCCTAAAATTTTGGCCTTACCCCAATTTTTTGGAAGATATGGACACTTTTCCAATTTATTTTGGTGGTATCGCAACTCAATTTGGGGTATAGTACCGCAACATTTAGGTTCGTAGCCCAATCTATTGGGATAGTATCACAATTAATTGGGGTAATACCACAATTAATTGGAAATGTCCATATCATCCAACAGTTGGGATTTAACCCCTACCTCTTTTTTTCCGTGCGGGTAAATTTGGCAACTCTCGAATGTTCCTAAGGCGTTTATCCCTTGCACAGCAGAGTAAGTGGATCAACGCGGACTCTTAAAGATCACTCATAACTTATGAGGTCCAGTGTTCACATTCATACGGCAGGATGTTTTAAGAAAACTAATCTGCGTTACACTCGGGGGTGTCGTGCATAGTTAGTTATCTTCCTTCTACTTAATTGAGCGGAGCTATTAAAATTTTGTGAGTGCCCGGAGTTTCCTCTCACGGGGTTCAGTATTAAGCAACGATACGTATGATAACAAACGTTTTGTGAGTAGTCACCAGCTTCCTGGGGGTTAGCCTCCGTCCCCTACTTTGCACCATGCTTAGTTGGTGTCATTGCTTACGCTGTTAAACATAATTTTGGCTCCGAGTGACTGTGAAATGTTCAATAATGAACCTTATTCTGAGTCAACGGAACTTTAGAACCGTGATGGTTTGCCGTGAAAACGGACGGAACTTCTCTCACGCGCTGACTACTTCTTGGGATGGTTTGCCGTGAAAAGAGGTAACTTCACTTACGTAATGACGCGTTTCTTTCGGATTCGACGTCGATTTTTCGTGAGCTAAGAAATTTACTCTAACGCTGACTTATTCCCCTAGGAATCCATCTCGTCCATTTGTGAGCAAGGAAATCTCCCCGCCCTAATGCGTGTTTAGGGTGACATAATCCAAAATCTAGGTGACTCCAAGAAACGCTCAATTTTGGTACTGAATCTGAGTGATTATTTTTTACTTTGTACAGACAAACACGCAGTATATTTTGTCTACTGAAATTGAGCAACCAGTTATACATATTTTTTTCAGCGGGGTAGATATTTTGAACCTTTCCTTTTTGTTTTTGTTGTGTCTACACATTTACTTTGTCCGTTTTTTCGATGCAGCAAGGTGATAGATAACGTTTTCTTTTTATGGTTTTGGTTTTGTAACAATTAGTCGGGTGACATGATGATTGCGTCTCACTTGTTTTTGTTTTGGTCCCGAGCTACCTGTAGAATTTTCTTCTTTTTTGATGGTCATTTCGGACTCAATAGTCCATCTTCAGGTACATTTTAATGATTTTTTTTTACGATTTTCTTCTTATGATGATGTATAACGAGGATGACATTACAAACATTTTATCTCCTCATTTTATCCCCTCTCAATCCTTTACCCGTACATACACTGGAAAAAAAAAAAAAAAAAAACACATTGGATCTAGAGTCCAGACTCTTAAAAACATCTACAAGAAAAAGTACTCTTGATTCAATCAAATTTAAGCTTAAATCAAGAACCAAGCCTCTTAATTTGAGCGGATTTCCTTCTGATTTAAGCTTGAATCCGCTTGAATCCGCTTGAATCAAGAGTCCTTTTTCTTGTCGATGTTTTAGAGTCTGGACTCTAGATCCAATGTGTTTTTATTTATTTTTTTTTCTTTTTCCAGTGTACATATGTATGCTTTCTCTATTCTTCCAAGTCACCCTGTGCTCTCAAGAAACTTTCATTGTATCACTTTTCGCCCTGCGCCGAGGGAAGAAAACTGAGCTGTTGAAAGGTGCGTATTTGGCGACGACCTCGTTACTATCCTGGGAGGGAGAAGGTAATCCTCCGAAAAAATGAATTATCGTGATGAAAATAAAACGCATCGGGGGTGGAATAACATTCCGGGATCCGCACCGGCGGATTGCGAGCCTCGGGTTACCGTTCTGGCTCCGTTTCATCGCATCGCTTAGCATCGGAAGAAAATTAAGCAAACAGCTCGCGGAGTCCGGGTAAAATTATCCGGCAAGGAGCTCGGACGCCCTGATTTCCCGTCGTTCCGCCTGTTTACAACTTTTTGATAACCGGTAACTTGCCGTTGAACGCAATTTCAGGGCTGAAACGGAGACTTTATTGCCTCGCAGACGGGTGCCAGCTCATCATCTTTCACTTAATCCCCCCCGTGCACCCCCTCGCACCGCTCGGAGATGCGGTGTTTCGCTCTATGCGGCAGTCTACCTTGTAGCCCATCATTTTTAGCGGTAATTGAAACGCAGAAATGCCCTTGTTTTGTCCGTTTTTTTATTGTATGGTATATGTACCGCTCTGACGCAGCGTATTATTAGTTTTTTTTTTTGTTTTGTTTCTTTTTTTTTAAAGTTAATTTCAGCGTTCTGCAGCGCGGAAGCGATTGTTGAGTCGTTGAAAAATTTGAAAAAAAATGTTTTATCGCGTTGAGTAGTCTGGAAGAGAACAGTATTCGAATACATTCTTTTCGTTGTTGTTTAATAGGTGTTAATGTGGAAGCTCAATGACAACATTATAAGATCTCATCCATCCTCAACGGTATCATATAGTAGATATTTAAGTCAAAATTTAATGTGAATTAACCACATTTTAATCCAAGTATCTTCTGCAAGAAATTAAAAACAGCGACAATGAGAACAAAATTAATTTACACAATAAATTTACCCTTTAGGCAGTATCATTATGAGGTAAGACACAATCATAATGACGTGTTGTCCTCTCTTCTGCCTGTTCTTCAATAACTTTCTTTTGACCTAATAAATTAATTGTTGCGTGCTTTTTAGAATTAGAATAAGATACTACACGTGGTTTAAGTGAGAGCTGAAAAGGTGGGATATTTTTAGTATGATCTTTGTTAGATTTATTGTGAGCGAAAGTGGGGAATTCGATAGAATGAGAGACATTCAGAAAAGCCGGACTGATTGTGAGTGGATGTGACGAATCCACTGCGCGCTAGTATTCGTCCTCGAGCCACTGATATTGCCATCACGGTTATTGAAGGCGAACTCGATCGAAGAAGAGACACCCAGTAAGCTGGGATTGAGCGACAGTGACGCAACTATACTGCGAGCAAGTATTCGTGCTTTCCCAAGCAGTATTTCTCA